CAGACCTCGGTGGGTCTGAAATACTAATTCATCCAGACTCTGTGTGCTATCCAGCACGAATAGCACCCTGACAGCCCCGCGTGGGGAGCCCGGACGACAGCGTCCCCTCGTTCTGCCCGTGTGCTCGCGTGGGGTGCAGGTGGAGGGCCCGGCCTGAGGGGGGCAGAGGGCGGCCTCCTGGCCCCTGCGCGCGCCTATTTTGGGGTTGCTGTGTGTTCAGTGAGGGGCCGTGTTTCCTGCAACATGATGCCGGCGTCTGGGTCTCAGGTTAGGAAGAAGCACCTTGGCGGGGCTCCCTGGGGCCTGTCGGCCACTGACCGGCTCCATTCTTGCCACACACCCCGTGGCCCCGGCCGGGACATGGCCACGGCCCGGACGTGGTGGGACTTGTCCGAGGCAGGAAGCGGGAATAACAGAGCTGAGCCTTCTCCACAGAACACAGTCCAGATGCTGCCCGCCGCCGGTCCAGCACGATTGTGGGGCGGGGGCATCCACGGGAGGTCCGGGTGAGGTTGGCAGGGCTCCGTGCGTGCGGACACATCCCAGAGACACCAGGGACGGGGGCTCCCCTGTGCCGGGTCTGCCCAGGGCCCACACTGTCCAGGCGGGGGGCAAGCGAGCGTGGGCATTCGGGGTCAGCGGCGGGGTCAGGATGGCCACGTGGCTGAGGCCTTCTCTGTGGGGGCCCTCTCCTGGCCCGAGGCCATGCAGGGCCTCCGCGGTGGGCAGCCTGGTGTGTCTGGAATCAGGGAGTTGCTGGCCCTTGGCCCCTCGCTGGGTTGATGTGGATGCTGGGTCTCAGCATACCTTTTGTCCTTTTAAGGTGACCTTCCCCAAATGCTCAGAAATGGTTTCAGTGACCTCAGTGGGTCTGTTTCATAGCCCATCCCCTGCCATAGCCACGATGGCAATTAGGGGTGCAGGTTGTGGGCGGGGGGGTGGTGGCTGGAGCCCCCAGGGACCCCGCCCCTGCCCCTCACAGGGCAAGCCCAGCCCCAGGCTCCTGCATGAAGCAAGCACGCTAGGGTGGCTTTTACCTACTTGGCGGGGAAGAGTCGGGGCCACAACTGCCCCTTCAGGCAGATCGGGGCCTCCCCGCGGCCCCTACAGACCCACAGCATCATGGTTGTGCCCGGGCCCTGATAGGCGGGTTGGTCAGCAGCACTGGGGAGCCCTGGGCAGGAGCAGGGCGGCCGCTGTCTGCCAGGAAGGTCTGGCTGCAACTGGTCCTCCTTTTTTTGTTGTTTATTTTTTTTAAGAGAGAGCGAGAGCAAGCGAACGCAGGGGAGGGGCAGAGAGAGAGGACAGAGGGTCGGTAGCAGGCTCCGAGCTGTCAGCACAGAGCCCGAAACCCGGGCTCGGACTCGTGTACCGTTGAGACCATGACCTGAGCTGAAGTCAGACACTTGACCGACAGAGCCCCCCAGGCGCCCCACCAGCGGTCCTCCTTGGGCACAGCGTGCAGTTGGAGCCACTCGTCTGGCCTGGGAGCTGCCCCAGGTCAGGCATGACGTGAGGGCACCGCTACGTCACAGCCACAATGACAGCTCCCCCAGGAGCCCCCCACTCCTGCCAGCCCAAAGGAATTCCCCACAGGCCCCTCCTTCTCACTGAGCCTCATCAGAGCCTTAAGTGGCCCCTCGACACCCCACTTCCTGCCTGCGCTGTCACCCTGGCTGGCTTTGCTGCGGGGCGGGGCATGGGGGGCCAGTAGCTTCCTCCCACCCGAGCAGCAAGTTCTCCATAATGACCCAGCATGCTGCCTCCCACCTCTTGGAGAGGTGTCCCTGGGAGTGCCATCGGTCCTGAATCATGGAGGTGCTGGCACGTTTTGGCCCAAAGCCCGGGAGCCTTCCTGCTGTTGGCCCTGGAGGGACATACGCCTGTCTCTGGAGGGCTGCCCTGGCCCCCGCCAGCCCCAGTGTCCCCGGGTGACCTTTGGCACTGGCAGGGTTCAGCCCCCTGCCCACCCTGAGTTGGGTCTGGAGGCCTGGGGGACACAGGGCTTCGGAAGCAAAGTGAAACCCCAGCTCATGGGGCCTTGTGTGTGATCAGTGACCCCATTCCTGCTGGGCGGGCCTGCAGGCAGGGCACCGGCCAGCCCGGCCTAGAGCCGGGAGAGGGGGTTTCAGGGTGGGGACACCCTCCAGTTCTGTGGACTCTGGAGAACAGGCTCACTCTGTGTCCAGAGAGCAGTGTAATGTGATCAGTGTCTCTGGGGAAGAGACGGGCATTGTCATTCTAGAACTTGCTGCGCATGGCTCTCTGCAGCAGGGTGCCGGGTCCCCTGGGGAGAACTCCCTGCTGGGCAGTCACGGTGGGGACACTTGGGGACACCCGGCCCGGCCAGGTGGAGCGGGAGAGTCGGCCTTAGGCCCGTGTCCACCAGCTCTGAATGTGGCCCTCTGATGGGAGCCCCCGTCAGCCTTTCCCCCCACCCCCAGCTCAAGTGACTCCCACTGGTGGTGCCTGGTGCCGTGGTGCCCAGAGAGGGCTGCGTGCTCTGGCGGCCAGTCCCGGGGCTGGCCGTCAGGCCTGGCATCCACATGCCACCCGGGCAGGGCGTGAATAGGAGACAGGAGTGCCTTTGACAGCCCAGGACAAACAGGGCCTTGGCCAGGCAGCAGGGCAGGGATCTCCGTGTGGGGCGGCTGCTGTGAGAACCTCGCTGCCCAGGAAGGTTTCCCCAGAGGCTTGGGGGGGGGTCGAGACCAACTGCTGCGGGGGCAGAGCCCACTGCCCACCACTGGGTCTGAGGAATCCCTGCACCCGCCAGGCCACCAGCCCCTGCTGTGCGGTCGTGGTCGGGAACAGCACCCGAGGACAGAAGGGGCGTTTGTGCTGAGTGCAGGCCCCGTGGGGGCTCGGGCTTCCCAGCCCCACTCCCCGACTGTGGGCTGTGTCCTGTGTCTTCCGACGGGCACGTCAAGTGCCTCTGAGTCCCTGCGTGTGGTGTCCAGCTGTTCACTGCTGAAGGACACCTGACTACGTGGTTCCCGTGGGACTGCGGTGCGTCTGTCCTGCGTCGAGCCCAGACGTGGGGGCTCAGAGCCGTAACTGCCCAACCGCCTCCCCGGGTGGACGCCACGTCGGAGTGCCTGGCTGACCACATCCTCCCGGTGCGGCCATTTCACCGGCTTCAGCCACGCTGGCCGTCCGGCCCGGTAGGACTCGCCATGTGGGGTGGCGCTTTGTGTACTCTGCCCTGGCCACCCAGGGGTCTTCCTGGACAGTGTCCGGTTCGGGTATTTGCCCCGTTTTCTATGTGGGATCCTCCCTGTTAAGTTTGAAAAACTTTCTCTTTCAGGTGTCTGTTTGCACGTGTTTTCTCCCCATCTGTGGCTCGTTTCGTATTCCTCGGAACAGCATCTTTTCAAGGGCGTGGGGTTTTAAATTTCGGTGCATTCCAATTCCTTGTTTCTTTTATGGACTTTTTTGGTGTTGTTTCTAAGAAATCTTTGCTTCACCCGAGGTCACAAAGTTTTTCTCTTAGGTATTCTTCCAGAAGTTTATAGTTCTAGGCTTTGTGCTGAACTTAGGACGATGGCCCGTTTTGAGTGAGTCTCTGTAGGCACTTCGAGGCACAGGACAGGGCTGGGTCCCCGCTGTACCAGCACCAGCTGTTTCGAGACGGCCCTTTCTCTGCTGAGCTGCCTTTCTTTGCTCTTGCGTGGAAACCCTCGTGTGGGTCTGTCCCTGTGCCTTCGTGGTTATTGTGGCTGTTCTGGGCCGTCTGCTCGTGGACATGTGCAGGGCTGTCCCACTCAGGCCTCTGCACCCACAGGGTGTCCCTGCATGGCAAGGAGCTGCCCCCACAGGACCTCTTGTTCTAAAACCCTGACAACTCACTCCATGGATTAGCAGGAGAGATCCAAAGTGGGAAAAATGGTTTTTAGTAAAAATTATAAAACGTGCACAGTTTAGAACCTTCCTGAAATTTTGTGAGTGGCCTGCGGCAGGGAACGAATAGGGCTGCATCTGCCCCTAGCCCCCTTGTGCCCCTTAGGCAGGCGGCTTTCAGGTGGGGGCAGTGGGGGTCCTGGGAGGAGGGACGGGCCCTGGGACCACCTTGCTGGGCGTATCGGCGAGGCGGCCTCCCGACCCCGTCCCCGTGTGATGACAGGGACGTCGGGCCACGGTGGCCCCAGGCAGGATTCGGCCTCTGTGTGGTTCAGATGGGATGAGCGTCTTGACCTTTTTCCCTCCTGCTCTGAGTGGATGCCACACACGCCCCATTTTAGACCCAGACAACAGCTTTGTTTTAATGTCCAGTTGTTCATAAAGGATGTGGTTCCTTTAAGCTTTTTTCCAAGACAATTTATATTTGCTGCCGTTGCCCATGGCGACCGACTGTTGGGCATAAACAGTGCACACCAGGGCGGGGGAGGGGCATATTCTGTATTTTAACTTTAGACTTGATTTCTGCTGTGGGAGAGAGGTGGGGGTTCCCCAAGGCCACTGGGCCCCCACCAGGTTCCTGGGTAGGGATCCCCTGATGTCACTGGTCCCTGGGTGGGGGGAGGGTTACCCCGATGTCACTAGGTGCCCAGACAGGGGCAGGGGTCCCCCGATGTCACCAGGTCCCTGGGAGGTAGTCTCCTGATGTCATCAGGTCCCTGGGCAGGGCCAGGGTTTCCCCAATGTCACCTGGTCCCCGGGCAGGGGTCTCCTGATGCCACCAGGTCCCTGGGAAGGGGTCCCCTGACATCACCTGGTCCCCGGATGTCAGCAGGTTCTGGGGGCACTACTTGGTGGGGCTGTGAGTTATGGAGGGGAGTGGCCCTGGCCCAGGCCCTGAGTGCTCTCCTCCGTCAGAGGGAAATCCTGCTGGACCATCACATTCGAGCAGTTCAAGGAGGCGCTTGAAGAGCTCTCCAAGAAGAGATTCAAAGACAAGAGCAGTGAGGAGGCCGTCCGCGAGGTGCACAGGCTCATCGAGGGCAAGGCCCCCATCATCTCAGGGGTGACGGTGAGCATGGCTAGCAGGGACTCCCTGGAGGGCAGCAGCCCGTGAGGTCTGGGGTGGGACAGCGGACGTGTTACTCCCTGGGGGTGTGCTGACCCAGCTGCCGACGGCCTCACGCGCTCACTTGGCCCCTTGCGCTCACACGGGCGCGCCCCATTCTCTCCCTCTACAGAAGGCCATCTCGTCGCCCACTGTATCCCGGCTCACGGACACGACCAAGTTCACGGGCTCCCACAAGGAACGCTTCGACCCATCCGGCAAGGGCAAGGGCAAGGCGGGCCGTGTGGACCTGGTGGATGAGTCGGGCTACGTACCGGGCTATAAGCACGCGGGCACCTATGACCAGAA